ATTTCTGTTCACATTTGGTATATTTTTTGACTAATAAGATAAACTTTCTCCTGTACTATTCAAAGATCACGTGATATAACACTGTTTCAAAGTGTTATGGTTCATAACAACTAAACGTTTGTGTTTTATAAAATGTATAAATATCTTTACTAAGAAGTAAATACAAAATTTAATCCGTGAATATGCTCAGAAAGGATCTATTCTATCATATTCACAGATTAAATTTTGCATTTACTTCTTGTAAAGATGTTTATACATTTTGTAAAATACAAACGTTTGATGACTTTAGATGTTATGCACCATATCCATTTTCTGATGATGATTTAATGTCATATTTTTTGTGATCGATCAATAAAATACATGTAATTACATAAAATGATTACATGATTTACATTAGGATAATTCGGGCTGGAACTATGATAATTTAGCATTAGCATGTGCCGACCTGAAGTATAATAAATTTTAACCAATAAAATTACGGTCATGTGATTTGTTTCAGTTTGGACTGATCATATAAAAAGTGACTAAGTTTAACTTTTTCAAGATTTTTTGGAAAATTGACCAGTAGTTTAAATAGAACTTATTGAAGAATAAGTTACTGGTTATTCCATTTTGTAAAGTTTTGAAAGATTTTAAAAATGTTCACTTTATTGTTGAGTTATGATTTTTTATTAGGGCTCCGAACGATTCGGTAAAAAACCGTTACCGATCGGTCAGTAAACCGATCGGTTCGGTGAATTTCGGTAATTATTCGAAACACACGTATCGAATAATTATCGACGGTTTACCGAAATGTTGATCAATGAATCAATACACTGATTAATCAAGGTTTGAAAGATTTCTGAATTTGCCAAATATTATTCGTGAAATTTGAAGTAAAATCGGTCATAATGTCAAGTTTTAGCACACTAAATGCTAATAATTAAAAATATTTGCTAGGCTCTATTCTATGTATATATAAATTTTCATAAAATTTTGCACATTGCTTCACGAGATATTATGCGAAACGTAAATAAATTTCTACAACGCATTTAAGCGATTTATTTGCGTTTCGGATAATATCTCGTGAAGCAATGTGCAAAATTTTATGAAAATTTATATATACATAGAATAGAGCCTAGCAAATAATTTTTAATTATTAGCAGCTAGTGTGTTAAAACTTTACATTATGGTCGATTTTACGTTCAAACAGCACGAATTAAATTTTATACATGTATTGATATCACCATTACGAATTACCGTCGGTAATTAGAAGATGTCGGTAATTACCGAACCGTTACCGAAAATTTCGGTAAAATAACGGTACCGATCGGTTCGGTAAATTTCGGAGCCCTAGTTTTTATCAATTATTTGCAAAATTAAGAAATAATAAATTGGGAACGCTATTAGCGTTGTAACGCAGGACCCCAAATTTAATAATAGTGACGACTGAAAACTCAAAATTTTAGGACCCATTACCTATATTCTTAGTAAACGGGGACGATAAAATATAAAAATCCAATTAATTTAATATTATTTAATATTTCAAAGTTGAAGAACTTTTTTCAAATTTATTAAAATTGATTTGCTAAAAACGCGAGCAAAAATTATTTATAATTTTATAAATGTATATATATTTTGTTTTTATTCTTCCAGAAATAGTTTAACCGAAGCGCTAATTAATCGAAGTTGTGTCCAAGAACAGTTATGGTAAATCCTCCTCAATAAACCGAATTTACTAAATAAACCTGATAAACGAATTTTTTTCAAAATTTTTTCCTAATAAACCTAGGGATTTGAACCGTGTCTAAAAACTTCACCCAGATATTCGTGTCCTTTTGAACTCGGGTATCCGGGTGAAATCGGCTAAGTAAAATTTCACAAATCTGGGTGAAATATAATGTCGGGCAAATGAATACTATTGAAATTAACATAGTGAATTATATCGATTGGTCGAAACGCGAATTTAATTAATAGCAAATAAAACATTTAAACTATTAATAAAGTTCGAATTTAAACCTTAGCATATTAAACCGGAATAGCATACCGGTTTATCAGATCGGGTGTATTATTTCGGGTGACCCGGTTTGATCCCGATGAACTGCATCCGGCTCTACACTGACCACTTCGGTTTAACGAATTAATTGCAATCTTATTTCATGCATACTTTAATAGAATATATCGGTATTAAAACAATAATCAAAAAGATTTATATAAAAGAATTAGGATAATTTTTAAATAGGAAATAAAAGTATGCCAAAAATTAATTCATGGAGTTAATTTTATCTATTTATCAATTACTGTATTTCACTGGTTATTAAGTAATAATTATGTTTTATTAATAGTTGCAAGCCATTTTTAGATTCATATTACATGTACATGTATTAATAATTTACAAGCCATTTTTAGATATATCGAGCGAAATATAATCTAATAAGTAAAGATATAAATGATAAGATATATAAATTATAAATACACAGTCAACCTGCCTCAATAAATTGAAGTTGCTTTAGGAACAGCTATCGTAAACATGCTTCGATAAACCGAATTTACTAAACAAATCACTTTGGTTTAACGGGACTGACCGTGCATAATAAAGGTTATAAAATTAGGAAGTAAAATAACCTTGAAGCATAACAGTCATCTTGAAAAAAGAAAGAGCAAATGTTTTCTAAATCATGTTGAGTAATAACCTTTTTACGGTAGATCTGTCTTATATCATGCAGTTTTATGCCAAATTCAATTATTCAACATCAACGTTAACGTTAAAGGTTAAACTTGCCAACCTTCTATTGTTTCGTGATACAACACATGCAGTCAACAAAGCACAGAATTATAAATATAGTACAGACAATAAATCCGAAAAAGTAAATAAATTAATGTATATCTGTATATGTAGGTATGCTTCCACACACATGTAAACATGTATACATGTACTAGGAGTTTGTATAATATAAATAACTCAAACAAATACGTACGTAGATTTTTTTCTAGTTTTATTTTTTAATCCTAACCATAACGATAATAATTAAACCAAGTCAAATTCGAAATCTTGAATAAAACAAATCAGGAATTAATAAAAAATGTCAGACAACTCTAGCCATTTACCACCAAGACCTCTTCAATTACATTTAGAAATACCACCACCAACAAACGAGATTTCATCGTCATCTTCATCACCACATCATTATCATCATCCCAGTTCTCCAAACACTCCAACCTCTGCTCCCATATACTTGTCCCCATCCAATTTATCCCCGTTCCCATTATCCCCGTTCCCATTTTCCCCCAGCTCGACCGGCAACTCTGACTCGTATCCATCATACGCATCAACTGACTTATGTCAAAGCTGTAAATCACCATTAACGGCTCCATACTACTGCCAAAAATGCACCGCGGAATGTTTCAAGAACCAATTTTCGAAATGGACAAGCGGTGATGCAGAAATCGATGCGATAATTCAAGAGTCACAAGTGACCGCGACCAATCGTGAAGAATTGATTGAGTGGATTTCGTTTGATCGATTTGGTGAGGTGACATATGTTGCGCAGGGTGGGTTCGGGAAAGTGTATTCGGCTGTTTGGATTGATGGGCCAATTGTTTATTGGGATAAAGAGCGTGGTGAGTGGTTGAGACGACAACAGTATAAGGTTGCTTTGAAGGTGTTGAAAAATGAGGAAAATGGTTTTGTTGGGAGTTTTTTGCATGAGGTAAAATTATTTAATTTGATTTAGATATAGTGAAAAAGATAATAATATTAATACCATGCATAAATACCATAATTTAATCAGTTTCAAGCTCAAAGAAATGCGAATAAATCCAGTCATGATTCATATGTAATATGGTTTATGGGCATCACAAAAGATCCATCCACTCAAACTTACATATTAGTAATGCCATTCGCTCAATACGGCGACCTACGAACCTTTATTCGCAGCAACTATGCAACATTCACTTGGACACAACGTCTCAAGATCGTCTATTACATCTCAGAAGGCCTAAGCAACATCCACGACGCCGGAATAATTCACAAAGACTTTCACACCGGGAACATTCTTCAACTCTCCACGCATCATTCATATATCGGTGATTTTGGTCTATCCGAACCGGCCGATGCTCCGTGTCCATACCAGAAAAAAATTTTGGGTGTTATTCCATACATGGCTCCTGAAATTATTTGTGGAAAACCATATACTAAGGCTTCAGACGTGTATAGTTTTGGTATGGTAATGTGGGAAATTGCAACTGGTAAACCGCCTTTTGCAAATCTTCCCCATGACACGGATTTGATGTTCGCTATTTGCGATGGTCAGCGACCGAACACAAAGGATGGCTTGATGCCGAAATGTTACTGTGAATTGATGGAACGATGTTGGGATCCTACCTTGAATAGACGACCGACAATTAACGAAATCAAGGAAATATTGTGGACGTGGTGCGGAGAAGTTGATTTTGGTGATTCGGAATTATCAACCGTTAAAAAAGATTTTATGCTCGTGGAAGGGGAACGAGCTAAAGAGGGCCAAGAGCAATTAAATCAGCTGCCGTCATCCTCAAATGTTATTGATTTCGTACACCCGAAAGCGTGTTATTCGAGTCGACTGCTTTCCACGCTAGAGTTTTCATCGAAAAATGAAGACGAAGATCAGGATTTCAGTAAGTAACTTTTTTATTGGGCATAATATTTTTTTTGACTTTGATATTTTACTAGACTCGAATTATAGCAATAGAAAGCCGCGAAAACGACAACTTGATAAATTGGAATGGTATTTTTTTTATAAATTCTAAATTAATAACTTTCGAATCCGTGTTTTCCATTAATATCTAAATATTTACAAAATAGAAAAAGTTTCAGAACAAACAAATGCACTAGATTACACAAATTCAGAGCACGAACAGCACAGTAGTAGTTTGTCAATACGGAGCAGTACTTCGATATTCTCTTCTGGTAACATTAATAGTAATAATAGCACTAACTTGACGCAAATCGGTTCTCTGTCCTTGTTGGAGCATTATGAGAGTAGTAACAATAGTGTTTCATCGTCAAAGAATAATTCGAACGCCTCGTCTCGGAAGTCTTCTATGGATATTACTTTGAGACGTGAGCGAGGAGAAGTAATACGGTTAGAACAAATTGCTGAATCTCCAGTAATGGAAAATTCCGTCAAATCACAGGCTATAAATGCTAGTGATCAATCGACTGGAATTACATCCGAATTCACTGCATTTGAAATAGTAAACACGTCAAGGAATTTTTCGACACAGTTCCGTGATCCCGAAGATTCAGAAGAAAATTTCGAACAAGATTCTGACAATAATCAAGAAGATGAAGACAAAAGCTTTTTCAAAGATTCATTCGGTTCTAACGACAAACTCTATACACCGATCCTGCCACCTGGTGTTCGCGAATCCCAACACACAGGATTGACGCCAGACATCCAATTAGTATTTGGCAGTAGGCTCTTTTCTGAGACTAAAGAAACCTCCGATTTTACTGCTGGCTCGCTATTTGATTTCGAATTAATGTCACCTCCGCCGAGCGACATGTTTAGCAGAGACAATTCTGGTGGTTTTACGAATTTGTTTGGAGAATATGATGATGAAGAAAGTGATTGCGAAGAGGAAAATAGGGAGGAAGATGGCGGAGGAGGAGGGATACCAAGTAAGGCGAAAGAACGATGGCGTAATTTTGATATTAGCATGGAGCATTTTAGTTCTGGTAAAATAATTTAATATTTCAGCTCCGTTTATTTTGAGTTTCGTTTTTTTTTTACTAAAAGTATTTGGGTGAATAGGTAGAGCGAAACGGTCACTCGTGGACAGTGATGGCGAATCGAATAAAGTAGATGAAGGTAAATTTTCCGTTTTAATTAGTCAATTTAAATAATAACGATTATTAATTTTTGTAATGGACTATAGAAGTTCATCCTTCAAGCACGGAAAGTTTCGTTATTTCTTCACCTGTGATGGATGGAATTGGGCGACCAGATTCTCGATACGAGTGAGTTTTTTTTTTGATTTGGTGTTGCGTATGTTTGGCATGATTGCATTAATTAATTCGAATAATATTGTGATTTTTAGGAAAAAACGAAAGACTTGATGAATTAGAAACATTTTTAGTTATTTAAATTAATCAATTTAACTTAATTTTTGCTATTCTTTTATTTATTCAATTATTATCGATACATTAAATTTTGATTCCTACGGATTAACTGATTAATTAACACCTACAAATAATTGCATTTACTGTTACCGTATAACATTATATAAAGTATCCTCTTGTAAAAACTTTACCACTTAATTAACCTCAAAACCATTAATCAGTTAAAAGAAATTGCTCTGTAAATCTTGAATTATTCATTTCGCTTAAAAAAATTATTGTTTATACTTTTACAGAGGAGATTTAACATCGTCATTCTGCAAAGAGTATATTAAAAATAAACAACAACTTAATTGCCAATGCGTTTTATTTATTAATTCATATAAAGAAATATATTTTCTAGAAAGATTTAAGGATGTTAATAAAAAAGAACATTGGATTACACTTGTTTGATTACAGTTAACAGAAGAATTTACAATTACACGTTACTCCCGTTATCGATAAAATGAAAAATAAACTTATTAATATATCGATATGGTGCAAATAGTCTAAAGCCATCCAATACTTTAAACAACGGTGTTAAATAACTTTTGATAAGGGGCGTGCCACTTATCACCTGATTTACAGCTAGTTATCACTTCTTATGTGATTGGCTAGTTGTTACAAATGGCCACAATCACACCATAGCGATAGATAGGACCATATTAATTAAAAATACACACCCCAAGTACATGTAGTACATGTATAATATTAATTTAATGACAGAAAGCGTTAGCGTTAGAATTTTTCAGAGGTAATCACTGGCTATATCACATGAACAATTTATGATTGGTTGGATTTCTTCATGCAAAAATACATGATTGGTATTTCATGCTTTCACATGTATATTCTAAATACTACATTTTCATTGGCTTCACGTAACTCATACTTATCAAATTAAGTGGTAGCGCAGCATTGGATGGCCTTAGACTGTTTGCACTTATTTTTAATGTAGAGAAACAGATTTTAAATTTGAAACTGAACTATTCTTACAGTTGATTGTAGTAATATTGATATAGATTATAAAATTAACCAGCGAGAATTTATCGAAAATCCAGTTTATCGAGGTTTATTTAGTATTGAAGAGGTTTATTACAACTGTTCCTGAACCAACTTCGATTTAATTAGTGCTTCGGGTTGATTATGTTGTAAATATAGAAAACCAAGAGTTCTATCTAGAAGCATTCGATAGAGATACAAGTCATTAATTTAGTAGTCTGAGATTGTTGAGCTGAAATTTCTTGAAATCCAAGCTTTATTAGAGTTAATAGTGCAGAACAAGCATTATGTGTAAAACTTATAATATTTCTTCATGATCAATAATTGTATTATTAACAGTTTGTAGGCTCGTATCACATCAACAGAACAGAATGTTTTTCTTCAACATACATCTATAGCACGTAGTAGGAATAGCACCACCTTCGTGACGATAGGTCATGAAATTTGTTCACCTCCCTCTTAAGACACTCATTTATTATAACTTTTTTGGATTCTACTGCGCATACAACTGTTGCTGTTCATGTCGTCCATTACAATATAGTCGTTTTTATGTGCATTTTGTATTTAAATAGAGTGGAGCAAAACTATGTCATTTCCAGCTAAAAGTCGCTAGAATAATCCCGTGAATGAAATATTGCTGTGGTTTTTCGGGCGGCATTTTAACGCGTTGTCGTGACAAAAAAACACATGATTTGATATAAACCCCTTTTATGCATAACGATAATGTTAGATAAGCTAATTTTACTCAGGTAAAAATTTTAGTCCCTACGTACAACATATTATTCACAGATCTAAAGATATAAATGTAATCTCGTATATAACTAATTGTTAATACAAAAGGTATTCTAATAGGTTATTATTTAGAATGAAATTAAAAAATAATTTACTATTTCTTCAATATTCTCAAAATTTCACTAAGAGTTGTTTCTAATCCCTCCATACGATCTTTGATATGGACTAGTTCAGCTTTTGTATTTTCCTGTTTTTCTATATATTCAATATTTTTTAATTGTTTTTCCTCACGAGATTCATCACTTATTTCTTCTTGGATTCTCTTGTTTAGTTTTTCGCCTGGAACAGAGTAGTATATATAACTAACTAGAAATTCATCAGGCGAATTTGCTATAAGATGTGCACGCGTTTGTATGAGCGCTCTTCTCACTAAAACTGTTTCATCGAGTGCTTTTCTAAAATAGATTATATGAATTAAAATTGATTCAATAAAATTATAAGCTTAAGAGAATTCAAAATTACCCCATTAAACCGATCAAAAGATTTTGCATAAGAGTGGCCAAAAATAGACTGCCAAGCACCGTGACTAAATCAACTGGCCAAAAATTCCAATTTTCGATCTGATCCCAACGTCCACTGATCCAAAAGTACACTGCTTCGATTGCTTTATCCAACCTATAATAGTAATTATCTGAACTATCCGTCCAATCTAAATCTTGCGTCAGGTTAAAATTTGGAGCTGTTTGATTGTTAGGATTTATTGTCGTAAAATTTCCAGTAAACGTTGATGAATTAGGAAATACACCTAGCCCGGGGGCAAAATGTAAAAGTAATGACCTGAAATAAAACAATCAATTTTAGTATGAACAATAGGAATAACGCTAAAAGAAAGGGACAATCAAATACTTAACATAGAAATTCCGAAGCCTCCAATGATAAATATCTGCAAAAAAAGGAATCCAAATATGTTTATGATAGCATGGATAATAATAAAGACAAACTTTCCAATAGCTATATTATTATTGAGTTAATTATGTATAATGATAAGCTTATTCAGATAAAATAGATCAAAATTAAACATTACCTGGCAAAACTCGCATTTGTAAGAACTAAAACAATGACGATTTTAAACCCAATATTATTTTAGCATATCGATATCATAACGCTAAAAGAAAGTCATCGAGTACTTACAATAACAATCCATAAAAATAACGCGGCAAATGAATAAATAATAACCTCAGCTTGACATTGCTTATTATACAGCTGACAATAACGAGATTCTTTGCTTTTATAATCGGAAAGTAGCAAGCCAGCATAACTGTAATTTACCCACAACATCCATGCTGAACCAAATAATGGCAAAATTGTGCCAATAAGTTCGAATAAGTATAAAATCCATGTCAAAGGTTGTGACCGATGTATATAACGTTTTCTTCGTATTTTTTCGGTAAAATGCAAATATGAATATGCACACATCAGCCAAGAACTAGTTGTTCCGACACTCGCTGCTCCATACACAATACGATTTAAATAGGTGTAAACTTGCAGCACAAATGTTATTCCGTGTATAAAGGGCATGAGGAGCTGATCAGCAATAACGCTTTTGGAGCGATGCCATTGGAAATTAATAATTGCTTCAATCGAGGGATTGTCGAAAATTTCACCAGTTTTATCATTTGTCACGAGATAGAAAAACGGGCTTCTATAGCCGCGATTTCGTTCAAGTAAAATTAACTTTAATAAATAATTGTATAGACCATTGCTATCGCTATCAATAGATTGTATTTCAAAGCTTGGCATCATTACTCTTGGAAGCGGTACTTGATAATATTTCATGTTTGTCTTTCGATACTTAGAACTGTAAGTTTGCTTTTCTTTTTCCAATTGTTCCAGTTGTTCTTGACGAAAACTGATGAAAAGATTAAATTCGCAATCAAATGCACGAACTGAACTATTTTCGGTTGGTCGATAAAACTTCCATGATTTATCCAGAGGAATTTCATTTTGGTAGAAAATTTTATTCTTCAATAGTTCATTCACAAGCTCTAGAAAAATATTATCAATTAGTAATTTTATTTATGTAAAGTTTATACAGATAAACCTCCCTAAATGCACAGTATGGCTGGGTCCGAGCTCATAAGAGCTTTTTATATTTTGCCCTCTATAAATGCACGCTTTCCTATGGTCCCTGGGGGGTGCATTTAGGGAGGTTTGTCTGTATTATATACATACGTACTTGGATATTTTGTGATCAATTCGGGTAAAGCTTGAGTAACAGTTTCCATCCAGCCTACGTTACTTTTAGCATTAGCAGAATAATATTCTAAAAGAGATTCCACCAATTTATGTTGATAATAATCACTTGCAATCATCAAAGTACTACGATGCTCTTTGTCGATTCTTGGCTTAGGAAACAAAAATAGAACAAAGTTATACTTCATTTCATTATTTTGATATCGCATAGCTTTTTCTGGAATGTGTAATCGTAAATTAGGGTCGATTAACATTTTTCTAACTACTGTTATCAAGTCTGCTTTCATCATTGTCGCCATAATACGAAAACGAACATCCAATATTCGGAAATTCTCTTTTTCAATAACAGCTTTTTCAATAATGACAGGTGCGACTTGTTTTATGTGTAGATGAAGATTCTTGAGCTCTGCGTATTTATTCTTAATTTTCGCGTCATCGTTCATGTTTTTTGATTTTTCCGCCTTCTCGAATTCTTGTATTTGTTTTAGTATCAGTTCCAAGGCACTTGCCATTCCTAGTATAGATTTTGCATGCGGTTCTATTTTAATGGAGTGTTCCAAAATTTGGTTTTTATTTTGCGATTTTAACTTTATTTTGAATTCATCATTTTTGACCGAGCTGTCTTCACGTTTAATTGATATAATAGGATCTTTTAAATATTTTGAAAAAGTCGAAGGAATAGACCAGATGTTCAATAGGGTTTTCGATTTTTCGGTTTTTGCCCAAACTTGTATTATATTATTTGCAACTATGATTTCTATTTGTTTGTTGTTGATAGCGATATTGTAAGTTATTGTCGTTTCGTCGTCGTCGCTAATAAACCTCAGTTTATTCTCTGTAAAAGAAATTTCTGATTCCGATCCTGAATCCGATTTTTTATTGTCTTCAGAGAAAAAATCTCCGTTTCTTCGAATTTCATTTTCCACGTTTTTCGACTCCGAATCTACACGGGAGTAAAATGATTTGATGATTTTATTTACTTTAAAGTAAAATTCAAAATCATTAACGTCATTAAATTTCAATGCAAA